GGTCTCTTTGATGGAGGAAAACCTACAGTCTTGGAGTCCCACAGGGTTAGTGACCCAGCAGTGCTGCTGAGGGGCCACAAAAGGAAAACACTGCCTGTTGGATTTGGAGCACATCAGGGTTGCTTTTTTAGGTATATGACTTTTTGCAGATTCTTCTAGGTCTGAAGCTAATCAAATAATTATTTTATGTGGATTGCCCACAATTTTTAAAGCCGCTACATGTCACTGGTAAATAATGCCTTTTCAATTTAGAAACCATTATTGTGTGGGTTTCTGTTTCTTTCTTGTTCATGCACATCTGGGTTTTTCTGCTCTTTTTTCAATCAGATGTCTCCTATTTCTTCCTAACTAACTGCATATTTTCTTACACTGGATCTGTGACTGTCTCCTCATACCACATATTTGTTGCTGTAGTGGCAGCTTTGGGATCTTTTTTGTGGAGAGGGTGGGAATGTCTGTGTTACATGTTGCCTGGTTTTGAGGCAGTTCTTGCTCATGATACATTTATATGTGCTTTCTCTATGCAGATATTTGCCTTCTTTTTTACTTCCTAATGGTTTTTATTAAATTATGATAGGTGGTGTTAGTGGCAAATGAAACAGCAAAGAAGAGGATACTTGAGGAGTTCAGCTTAGCCCTCATACTGACAGTTTGTGAAGGAAAGGGCTTGGATTTTGGTGATGTCCTCTTCCTCTACAGCTTTTTCACTGACTCATAGGTATTTGATTCCTATGTTTTTTTTATTTAATGTCTCGATTTTACAAGTTGCCCAGTTGACTTATCACCTGGGGCCTTAAGGGTTCACTTTCCTCTGAGGACGGATGGTTTCACCACAGTGGAAAACAGGGCTCCCCAAAGTTTTAGAAAACGCGCCTGTCCTTCCTTGGTGCAGCATATTCCTTGTGATTGGTTATTGCAATTTTAGGGAAGGCCTTGGAGCGCCGGGGGCGAGCGGGGGTCCCACAAGGTTCGTGGTCCCGCGGGTGGCTCTTGGGCTGCGTTGGGAGGGGACCATTCATCAGCGCGCTCCTCGTTAGTATAGTGGTTAGTATCCCCGCCTGTCACGCGGGAGACCGGGGTTCGATTCCCCGACGGGGAGGTGACATTGTCTTTTCTCCCCGGGGACCGCTCCTGCCTGCTCCGGACCCCGTCCCGCGGCGTGCGAGGCAGGGAAGGAGCGAGGAGAGGAGGCTCTTTGCGATAGGGCTTCCCCCGCGCCAGGAGGTTCGTGTCCGTTCGGGGCGTGCGGCCGCGGACTGGAGGAGGGAGAGGGTAGTAAAAAACGAAAGATCTTGAAGTTTTCATTTTTTAGCAACTCTCGTCGCCCCGATTAATGCCCGTGCTGCTTTGCCAGCTGCTCTGGAATGATCCGCTGACGAGGAATTTAACGAGAGCGATCGCAGTAGTGCCGCAAATCCGGTCCCGGCAGCGATTCCACCCCCGGCGTGTCCGGGGCAGCGCCTCAGCTGCGCGCAGTCAGGAGTAGAAACACGCAGGGGCCGGTTAGCTCAGTTGGTTAGAGCGTGGTGCTAATAACGCCAAGGTCGCGGGTTCGATCCCCGTACGGGCCATTCCGTTTTCTCCCTTGAACGTGCGATGGCCGGTTTAGCAGACTATTATTTAATCTTATTTTAGTGGCGGATGGTAACACGGAAGTGAACGCGGTGGCCTCCAACGGGAAGCTTGACGTGGGCGGTCAGGCGGCGACAGCGACTGCGACCCGACGCGGGACCTCTCCCCACACCGCCCAGGCGCAGGGACAGCCGTCACCTGCAACCCGACAATCCGCGACAGGTGAGGTGGCATGCCATGATGGCAAAAGGAAAGCTCTCACCATCCTGATCCTCGTTAGTATAGTGGTTAGTATCCCCGCCTGTCACGCGGGAGACCGGGGTTCGATTCCCCGACGGGGAGGAGGATTAATTCTTTTCTCCTTGTTTTTCTCGACAAGGTTTGTGCCAAGTCCAGGGCTGGGAACGGCATGGAGTGCTACCTAGAGACCCTCGGGACAACACACAACAGCTTCCTGATCCATCTACGAACTGGTAAAGGAGCTGGCCCGAGGTCGGGGTTATGATCACAGCCTGTCGCTCAACACTGAAAGATCCCTCTCTTCCAAGTAACACTGGTGCCCCAACCCGGATTCTCCCAAGTACTGATGGGCCAAGTCGTGCTACTGCAGCATCACAATACATGCCATTAAGTACCACCTTTTCCACAACTTCCCAAAAGCACAATTTAAGGTTTAAAATCATATCAAATCTTCCCTTTATTCTTTACAAAAATGCGTTAAAGCATCCAAACATCTTCTAAGGGCAAGCAGTGCTATTTAGGCACAGATAATACTTTCAGTTCACTGGGAAAAGACTTCACAGTAATTTGCCATTTAGCAATCAATCACATGAGTTGAGGAATTCTAAAACATGCACAGTAGCCCTGTGAGGCCATCATCAGTCCTTCACCAGGCAGCAGCAACAGGGGGTGGCATTAGCCCAACAATTGAAAAGAGTGAGTTCACATATTTGCAAGTCATAACAAGTCTACAGCGTAATTAAGGCACCAGGCAAGATATAAATAGACACAATGAAACACCATGCAACAGCAGTTTGAATGAGCTGGTTTGCAGGCGTTCCTGTTCTCTCAAGTGGCTCAGTGTAAGCAATCCATCTTGTTCATGATCCATGTCAGTGCACCCAGTCTTTGGGATTTCGCAGAACCTCCAGGATTTCTGCTTCTTTGGAGCTCTCTGGCGGGGTGTGCATGTACTCCCACCTGCAGGGAGAGGGGAAACTCACTCAGACTGCCCAGTTGGCTGCCACCTCTCCAGCACCAGGCGGTGTTTGTACTGGAGTTGTCTTTTCTCGGCACACAAAGCTAAATAAACAGTTGATACTCAGCTCAGGAGACAGATATGTAAGTTCGGTAAAAACAAATAATAACAACACCAAGGTACACAAGAAAAACATTAGCTTCATCTTTTTACCAACTTCTGAAAAAGCCAGAAGAACGAGGAAAAAGGGAAGACAATGCCCCCTTGCCCCAAAATGCATGCAGGTTGATTTGCAACAATCTTGTATCAGTCTCCTGTGACACACTAACATCACAAGGAAGATGAGCAGAAAAGGAACCCACAGAATTTTGACAGTGGGGACACAAGACCTAGGTTTTCCAGAATATGGACTGGAAGCTCTACAAGTCCTTGCTGAATCTTGGTTTTAAAAACAAAGGTGATGAAAGATGACTTTTTTATTGAAAAGGCAATTAAAAGAGGTGTGACAGAGAAAGCATCAGCAGTCAGAGATGGGTACACCCTCTTTCCATTTTTTTCCCCAGGAAGGAACCATTCATGCTCTGAAGCAAGCTATTTACACTGATGAAAACAAGGAAAACTGGATCATCCCAGAAATGAAATCAGAAGATAGGAGTGTGCTACACCACCAGGTCAGGGACTCGTATTGTGTTGGCAGTGGAATGAAAATATATGGTGAGAACAGGATTGCCTTCATGGTTAGGGGCAGCAGGCAAAGGTCAGTTTTCCTAGCAGAAGGAGGTCACTAGTGAACTTTATGGAATTCATGACAGGGTCTGTGCTACTCAGTGTTACCTAAAAGCAACATGACAATGGGGGTAAACAGTAAGTGACTGAATTTGCTGATACTGCAAGAGTAAGCAAGATGGGTTAAAACAAAACAAAAAAAAAAGCAGTTGAAAACAGTTAGTATTGAGCCAAGCAACCGAACAGTAAAATGGCAGGTGAAATTCACTGCTGATTGGTGTGAAGGGATGGACACAGAAAAAGTTGCAAACAGATTGAGTTAAATTTGAGTTCAGTTTTACTGCCCAGAAAAGACTGTGGCATTGTAACAGTTCTATGAAAAAGCCAGCTTAATGCTGAGCAGCAGACAAAACTAGCAAACGGAGTATTAGGATTACGAAAGGAATAATGAATTAAAACTTCATTATGCCACTGTATGATCTTGGATACACATACGTATCTTATGGTGTTGGTTCCTTATCCCTAGTTCAGAAAGGGCACAGAAAACTTAAGCCTAGAGGAAGTGGCCAATGTGATCAAAAGGATGGAACAGTGACTGTAAAAAGACTAAAAATACCAGGAATCGTAGGCCCGGAAAACTGGCAATGAGATAATAGAAATCTGTAAACTAAGAACAGTTATGGAGAAACACAACAGCAAGAAAATCATGTTACTTAGGGAAAAATCAAAGTCATCAGATGCAAGTAGGGGCACTTTATACAACACACAGTTAAATGGTGAAGCTCGTCACACATTTGTCAGGACTGCCAGACAGATCACACGATTTCAAAGAGCTACTAAACAAAAACCCATGGAGCAAGGAGAGAAAAATCTATCAAAAGGTACCAAGCAGAAAAAACATCCCTTTTTTTGTCAGAAAGTATCTCAGCCAGACACTACTGGCAACTAGGTAAGTGTAGGAGACCAGAGAAGCACCTCCATGTATTTGGGCAGTTCTTGTATCAGGCATGAACCAGCCACTGTAAAGTGATGGGACACCACGACAGACCTTTGATTTAACCCAATGAACTATTTTAATAAAAACAGTAACCTACCTGCAATTCCACATAGCTACACCCTTACCTTGCAGTCAATGGCAGAGACATAAGAATGCTTTCGATTCTTGATCCTGGTGTCAGGAGGCCAAACTTTGTACCTCTGTCATAAACCAAGTTGAACTCTACATACCTGTGGGGAGTGAAGAGATGCAAAGAAAAAGCAAGTTTATTAGCAGAAGTTGGTTGTGCCTTCTTCAACTAGCAGACATCAAACAAAAACGGCCTATCTTTCTGCTGTGTTGGGTGTCAGAATGAACCCTGTTTTGGAGTGAACTGTTTTTTAGCATCCTCCGCAGGAACGCAATTATTACCTGGCCACTCCACAAAGCACAGGGAGTAGTGACCTTGGCAAACAGAGGAGAGCAGCCACATTGTTCAAAGGAGAGCATTCTGCAGGCTGCTGTTCTGTGCAATGCTTCTCCCAGGCCTCAACCCTGCTGACAACCTCAACACCGTGTTTACCTTGGTTATTCTCCTTTGTGTGGTGGCATCAAACATGAAGAGGAGCCTTAAAGGAACTGAAAGTAACCAGAGGAAGAATTCTACTGTGCAGTCCTCCATGCTGAAGGACACATAAGCAGTAAGGCCTGAACAATATTTTTTGTTTCTTGGGGAGATATGGAAAGCAGCAGAAGTCAAACAGCTTCAGAGTGCTGTGTGGGAGTTGTAAAACCACAATATACCACCTTCTGCCCACAGCATAGGAATAGAGCAGTGACAATTCATCAGGGGTTATCTTAATAGCTAGTGCAAACATGTTACTATTTAACAGAGATACAGGAAGGGAAGAGTTCTTACCTATCTGCAAAAGTGGAAAGCTTTACCTAGCCAAACAACCTGCAAGCAGACCCAGGGAAATATTCAGGCCTCAAGAGCTGGTTCTGGCTGCAGCTTAAAGAAGCTGTTCCCCCTTATAAACTTAGTAGGTTTGCTAAATCCCATCCACAGACTGAATCTTGGAAGCCCCACATTCCCAGGGACAGTCCCACCAAATTAAGGACTCTTGCTTATCTGACTAGTGGCTGCAGGCCAGTGTTCTAAACTTAAATGCTCATACTCTTTCCATGCCAGTCTCACAGATTTCTCTACAGAAGAGGCAGAAACTAAAGAACTTACTTCTGCACAAAGCACATGTGTTCTCATTTCTCCATGTGCTTACACAATCACAGGACATTGTGTACTTGTGTACTTAAGCTTTTGCAACATTAACAGTTGGTCAAATTAGAAGCATGCTCCAAAGTCTTTTAAGTTACAGCAATTTTGGATCATGCCAGAATAAAAAAAAAAAAAAACAAAACAAAAAAACACAACACTCTGTATCTTTACTCCTTTACAGGAATCCTCATTTCAATGACAAGATCAAATGGAACAAATATGTATGTAAGAAGCTGAAGGTCCTTGAGTACAGTTACTTCTTGGCTTTGTGAGATTTTGTTTCATTACTGAATAGGAAGCACAATTCCCTCACCCTCAGGCTCCTTATGTGACAAGGGTAGTCCTGTATCTCATATGATTGGGCTGCAGGAGAGGGCAGAATTGAGGACACCAAGCACACCCATACCCCTTTGCCTGTTGCACAGCAGCAGCTTCTCTTGGTTTTTGAAAGAGCTGGAGAGAAACTGTGGCATTTTGTTTGTGTTGCTTGTATTCTAACGTGGGAAGGTGGGAAATACAGATAAGGGCATGCTACTACCTTCTTTGCACCCCTTTTGACAACCTAGCATTGGATTTCAAGATTAGTTCTGTGCACAAAAATGTTGAAATTCCCTGGTGAGCTTTTTTAGCCCACACTCTAACAGGACATAAATCTATAACCATAAAGAACTAGCTCAGTTTTTTTCTTGCCAGCATAATCCACCTCCTGTGTATTCTTTAGCTCCTTCAGTACTCACCGTCCTCTCCGAAGCTGCTGCCATAGCTTTTCCTCTGGCGTAAAGGAGTCATGGCGGTGCTTTTTCACAATGGGAATGTAACAAGGCACAACAGCTTTGGCACAACTCTTCACAAACTGGAACACTTCCTCCTTGGAGGGAGAGTCCACGTCGTCAAAGAATATGCCTCCAATCCCTCTTCGCTCGCCACGGTGCTTGATATAGAAGTAGTCATCACACCTAGAAGAAGTAGCAGATAGTTATCAACATGGTCCACAGTATCCAAAGCAATGAACAGAACTCCAAGCAGCTACGTGGCACAGGACTAGCACTGACCAGAAGTCAGTTCCTGCAGTGCCGAGTGCCTCGCTGTTTCACTGACTACCAAGAGCCAGGATCGTGCAGCACCCTCTGGAAAGCACTCCTGTGTCACTTACAGTAAAGCTCTGATTAAAAAGTCTCTGCAAAGCTACATGTCACCACACAGTCAGTGACAGTACCACTCACAACACCATGGCAGCTGCATCCACATGGAGTGATCCAATCCATATCCTCTACCTACTCAGAACAGGGTCACCTGATCTCCAAACTTCACCCTAAGAGCTCTTGCTAGATTTCATTCCCAGCATTATATGCAGATCCCAAATTATTTGTACAGCTTTCAGTTTAATTCAGACTTGGAAAAGCATTTCTTTATTATTTTTGCCATTCTAGTAAAATAATTTTCTTCATCAAAACAAAAGTAATCTAAAAACCTGAGACCAGATAAGAAAGCAGCTGTCATGGCAGCCTTCCTCGGAAAAAGGCTTTTAAATAGTTAAAACTTGTCATATTGAGTCATCATAGCAGTGGCTTTTCATGGTTTGTGATCAAGTTTAGAAATGCATAAGGGTAGTTTATTCTACAATAGGAAGGCAATTAATCTCTTTTGTAATGACAGGGAGTATGTAGCTGTGCAATTACTGTACATAACTGATTCACTGTATCCACACCCTATCTTGCTCATAGTTGCTTTATTGGGCAGTCATGCCCTGCACGTCTTCACATGGAAAAGAAACGGAAGGAAAATAGGAAGCAGAAACCATCAACATTAAGAACACCCTGCCTTCTTTTAGAACTAGTTTTCTAATACGTCTCCATCCTCAATCGTTCTCAAGCAATATATATGGCATGGCCAAAGCAGAAGAGATATGGAGATGTAACTGATAACCTAAGTTATTTTTTTATTCATTGGGATGATCAGCTTTTTTATTTTATGGCAGCAGGAAAAGTTAAGAAAAAAGGCTGAGTGAGAAAGGCAGAAAGAGAGCAAGGCTGATAAAAGTCCTAAACCTAGATAAAGAAGACAATGTGGTAAATCTAACAATAGCTTTTATCTTTGAGAAAGGTGGGAAAAGGTCTCTGACCCACTGCAGCTGGCATTGCTAGCCTACTTAGGCTGCAAATGTCCTGACCATTAAGGCACATACTCTAAACTACCATGCAAAAATTTGTCAGACAAGAAGGCTGTAATCTCAAGGCTCTAAGATGTATCTTTCTGCTAACTGGTTGCCACCCAACCTATAACACCCACTTTATCTCCTGTCCTCAGAAAAGACCTAGTGCCTTACAAAAGAGTATCCCCTCCTTCCTGGATACCTCAGCCTGTGGCAGATAGGATTATCAGACACAGAGCAGCAAGCCTCTGCTTACTGGTGAAGGATCAGATCACGTGTATCTCTCAGCTCAAGAAGAACATTCAAAGTTTGCATCTTAGAGAACATTCTGTTGAATTCACAGTGAATGTGTCACCGGGGAAAAATTATGAAGCTTCTACATTAAGGATAATCTTCCTTACTTACCTGGAAAAAAAAAGAAAAGCAAAACAGGCCATGATGGTCAGAGTGAAGACAGAAAAATCGGAGTAGGATTTTCAGTCCCACAGCGTGGGCCCAAGAGCTCACACTGAATCATGCACATTTACCATGAGCTCCCTGTAAGCAAGATTTCTGCAACTCCATGGGGAAAAACTCTTGTCCTAGTTTAACACCAGAGGTTAAAAGGAGTTTTTAAATTTCCTAGTAAAGTCTGTGGCTTACAAAATCTTGTAGAGTCAGCCTGGTTTTTATTGGGGCTATAGACTTATGATCCCAGTTGTCAGCCCCCTAATTTAAAAAACTCAGGCTTCTGTAAATAAGAGATTTCTTTAGACTACATTTTGTCCCAGTATATTTCTGCCAATTTTCCTTAGGGTTTGCTGGTAACTTTTAAAAGGCAGAAGAACCTACAGTTCTTAGAGTACACTTAACTGGCAACATCCAGTGCTGCTTTTTGCTCCACCCCAGGTGCATTTCTCCCCACATACCATTTCTTGTATTTGGGATACAGCTTCAGATCGTGCTTGTCACAAGCTTCTTTCAGAGTCTTGTGAAAATGAACGGCATCCTCTTCATTCAGATAAGTTGGAGTGAGGTCAGTCCCACCACCAAACCACCACTGCTTAGTTCCTACAAGAGAGGAAAGCAGCAACATTTTTATTTTACCCTTCTAAACAGCAAGGTTCACG